GAATTTACAGAGATTAACTAAAACTAAACGCACGCAACTTAAAGTTAAGACGTATACAACTTAAAGCTAAGACGCACACCCTGCTGGGTTGATATGCACACGACGGAAGTTCAGTTGGTAATGAGTCTTCGTACCGCTCAAGATTAATCTAACGTTTTGGTCGTCAGTAATCCGGAACAATTGATAATTGTTTTTAGTATTTCGAAAAACAGTTTTTCTATTATACTAATCAATAATTTAATAGTTTTTACATTTCTATTGCAAAGTTACACTTTCATGAATATATTACAATGTTAAATGCAATAATTTATTAATTTTTTAGTATAGTAAATAATTATATTACAGTCAAAAATTAAATTGGTCGTTTTTTAATAAATAATAAATAAGTTGCTGATGTAACAACATTACCCACATTTTCTGATTTTAATAGAAATGATTCCTATTACTAGTGGCACTGCGATGCAAAACTTGCCTCAATCGATATGGTAGGATGTGACACGAAATGGTACGTAAGTCATGTGATCCCCATAACTTCTACACAGGTGGGACACGAAAAAGTATTAGATGTCTAGTCTATTCTAGTTAATCAATGACGTCATCAATATTTACGACATTAAATTTGATTACGTTGTTATCGGCCGTGATAAATTGTAAATAGTTTTATCAATGGAGAAACTGGAACAAAATTAATGTACAATTACAAAATTAATGTAAAAGTATAAAACTAATTTGAAGATAGAAAATGATTAAAAGAAACAAGAATATCTAAACATAGTATATCATCTGTGTTTATTTCTCTTACGATTTTTGAATTTTTATAAGTCAATATTACTCTTCATTGTTTATTTCATTGAAACCTACGTTATATATTAACAAATCAAAATGACGAAGTGAAAGAAACTCCTTCGCCTATATGACCCGAGATACACATTGTATTACAGTAGCTGTTGCTAAAACATTGACAGCGTTTAAATATTTGTTATCAGTATTCAATATCTTTTCTTACCTTCTCGTTATGAGCAAAGAGAATCACTCGAAAAAGAGAAGAAGATATTTGACGTGAAGAGATCAGAATCCAAGCAGAATCCAAAAGGATCACCGCCCGTAACAAGTTCTTCGATGAATTTCCTGTTACCGATCGGGAAAATTGGCGGCAATCGTTGGACGTTTAAAACGTCGCGGCTGAGGATTGCGAAAGGTAGAGCGTTACAACGATAAATAAATGAACTCGGACTTACCTTGTAGTTCCCGATGTCGAGCAGTCTTCTTGGTAAAGGTATACATGCTTATTTGTGCCGCATCGTCGCCGTGAATGACCAGTAAATGAAATGGCAACCGGGGGCTGTGTGTGCCGTGTCTGCGGCGTTTGACGCTATATAAATAATACTTGGCGCGAACTCTGATCAGTCGAGTTGCGGCGGTCGTACCTGTCGCAACACACAATAATGCATCGTACCATAACAAACTGAAACCGGTTGTCCTTTTTCGCATTTTTTCGCTGCTTCGCGTACTCATTTACCTTAACCTTGTTCCATTCCGTGGCTGCGTCGTGCGACTCTTACATATACGCATATATATATATATTTTTTTTTTTTTTTGATTTTATTCTCTTTTGACGCACCGCTTCCAGGTGAATTCCCTCGCCTCTCTCTTTCCTAGCCCTCTCATTGGTCTTGTTCCCTGGTGTGCGAAGAAAAGAACTGACCCGCTAAGAATGTCGCACGACAATTTAGGATTTACCTCGAGTACGGTGAGTGACACATTATTACTTATTTACTTTGCTTTCCTTGCTTCCGCTTACCTTCCGTTTACTCGTAGAATGCTTCAACAACAACGTTCTTCGTTGTGATATGTCGACCATTTTTTCCTGTTTTTTTTTTTTTTTTTTTTTTTCTTTTCTTTTCTTTTCTTTTAGGGAGGGAATTGTACCGATATGGGATCGCTAGAGCTGGATTAGCGCTATCTTTGCGCACTGTCCGTAATTTTTTTTGGAATTTTAAACTGTACGCATCGATAGAAAAGAGATCTGTTATCGATTAGGTGAATCAGCGCTTATCTTTTTTTTTTTATCCTTATCCAGTGAAATTGAGGCTCTTGTTTGATTTGAACTTATCATTCATATATTTCAGTTTGAAGAACTTTTACTTTGTTCCCCTTTTTCGATCTCATTTCCAATTTTACTTTGATCCAACTGCTTGATAACGTATTTGCTTCTCTTCAGCAGCAAACTTTCGTTCGAAAAAAAAAAAAGAAGGGAACTAGGATAAATTTTATACGAAATTCGACAAAACACAAGGAAATTCACGACAGTACGAAGAAACGGTTTGTTAAATCACTTCGTACGTGTTGTGGCCTAATTTTAAAATCATATATATTTGCTACAATCATCAACATTGGTAAATTAAAGTCCAAAACTTTTTCCTCTGGAAGAAA